TTCTATGATTCTATGATTCTATGATTCACTGAGCTTTGACCTTGACCTGGGCACCGCTACGACAGTCTGTGAACCTGTCTCGCTAGACGTGCTGAGAGTTGTATGTGGGGGTGTTTTCTGGCTTGAAAGCTCATCACAGTTACCATGTGTGTCGCTTACCTCTCTTGCAGCTGGATAATAGCCTGCTATTGCTACGTTGGGCTACGCTACAGAGTTAGGTCGACATAAGGCAGCTTATGTCAACCTAACTCTGTCAGTGTCTACGCTACAGCCCTGCTCCCGCCGATGTAAGTGCCCTACTCCACCAACATAGAACTCCACCTCGAGGAGCGGTGTAGGGCTTATGTCGGTGTAGTTAGGGTGACGCAGTGTCTGTGTAGACGCTGCATTACTTATATCACTATTAGCTGTCTTGTCAACTTCATGGCTCCAAAATTGATAAGAAAGAAAGCTCCCGGCTCCCCAGCCGGGCTGCTGCCGGGTCTCCACTGCAAGCCAGGCTGCCACCCGGGCTCTCCGCTCCCCGCTGGGAACCTTGCTGACCCCCGGGGTCCCGGCTCCCCACTGGGAACACAGCAGCTGACCGGACTCCGGGGGCAGATTTCCCCACCAGAGACGAGAAGACCCAGGTGGCAGCTGGGGTCCTAGAGGGGATCTGCATGGAGCGGAGAGCCCTGGCGCTCAGCCCCCCACACTGCCCCTCCTCAGTGGGTGGACGTGCTCCTGGTGAGGACACGCACCACCAGCAGGAGGGTCGTGTGGACATCAGCCACCACAGCAAGTAGGCAGTAAATTGACCTTGGTCGACTTAAGATTGTAGTGTAGATATGCGCCGCCCCCTCCCCACCCCCCCGAGTGGAGCTTCTCCATCACCTCAAGGGGTTGAGGTCTGAGCAGGGGGCATTTATTTTTGGACAAATGGTTAATTGGAAGAAAAATTAGTAGCTTCAGGGGTGATCAGAAACTGTTTGCAAATTTGCCATCAATAGTGTCAGCCATGCCCAAAACAGTCAGAGAAGGAGGAGAAGGCCAGGCAGCCCCTACACGCACACAGAGATGAAAACTCACCTGGGCAATAGGGCATGCAGGATCAAGTCCCTGCTGTGCTACAAACCTGAAACAGATGTTTCTGATTTGCTGAAAATTTTGCAAAATGTCAGATTTGGTTCCATCCAGACCAATTTTTTTTTTTTACGCCACCAAACCGCCAAGCTGGTTCCTTGCCAAGCTCTACTCCTAGATTCAAACCTCACTGCTGATCCACGCAGAGTGTTACATCAGTCCGGTTGGGAAGTTTAGCCCCTTTAGGCAACTGGAGGCTCAGCCCAAGGGCATCTCTGAATGTGAGCTGAGAGGCCTGCGCACGCAGCCACTGGGTGGGTGGGAACTGTGCTTCTCGGTGGCTGAGCCATCCGCTAACATGCGCCAGTTTCTCTCATCAGGGCACGATGAAAAGTCCGGTCAGAAAACAGAGCTGGCGTAAACACAGCCAAAAGATCAACGACAACCAGCTGCAGTCCATCCTGCAGAGACGGCGCAGGATGGTGGACTCCTCCACTCCCGCCCAGCCCTCGCCGCTGCGGGCTGAGCTCAGAAAAGAGGTGCAGAATCAAGGTGCAGTGACTCCTCCTCGGGTGTCTCAGATCCATGTCAGGAAGCCATCCTGCTGCAATGCCAGATCCCAGCATGCTCCTCCTCGGCCAGAGAAGCCTTCTGCTGAGTGGAGCACTGCATGCTGGGAGCCAGGGTTGGGGCAGGCCACACCTTGCTATGTGAGACGTAGTTGACAGAAGCCATGTTGTAGGTCTCTATGAGGATGTCTACCCAGCAATGGAACACCCGCAGCCAGCCCATGTCAGCCGGCTCAGGCTAAGGGGCTGTTTAATTACGGGAGCCCAGGCTCTGGGACCCAGGACTCCTGGGGTCTATTTGCAGCTCTGCCACTGACATGCCGGGCAGCCTTGGGCACGTCACTTTGCCTCTCTTTGGCCATCTGTAAAATGGGATGATACTGACCAACCTTTCTATAGTGCATGGAGATCTACTGAGGCAAAATATTCTCCTCAGTTCATTATTTGTTAGGTTTGCTTAACACTGTAAGTTTCAGATGAGGGATGAATCAAGTCCTATTTCTGTGGCCGGTCTGTCATAACAGGGATGATTCAGCAGAACGAATTAGGCCAAGATATTTGAGGGGCTGCTGATTTTAGTCACTGTTGGGGGGCAGGTTTGACAGCTGTGGAATCTCAGAACACATAAGTGCTGGAATGAGTACAGGGGGGTGCTGCAGCACCCCCGGGCTTGAAGTGGATTCCATTAAATCCAGTTTGGTTCAGTGGCTCTCAGCACCCCACTATACACACTGTTCCAGCCCCCCGGTCAGAAGAGCAGCATTCTGTGAAACACGGGCTTGTCACACAATGTCTATGTGGCTTTCTTATTTTCTAAGGTGACAGTGAGATTTGCAAAGCTGTGCCCAGCCCATGCGCCGAGGAGAATGTAGCTGTCGTCCAGTTAAGAGCGAGATCGGTGCACCTTCAGAAAAGCAGGCGACTGGCTCTCCTGAGTGAAGCAGAGAACAAGCCAGCATAGAGAGAGACTGCCTGAAAACCAGCTGTCCTGTAAGAAACAGCCATGACAACCCACCTCATTGGGGCACTAGGAAGGGTTGGATCTGGGATCTTCAACACAGGCACCTCCCACTTGAGCTAAAGGAGTAACTCCACTAGCAGGCAGCAGTAGTAGGCGGTTATCCTCCAGGTAGACCAGCCACTCGAGGCGGGGATGCCAGACATGCTGCACAAGTGTGTTACAACGGTCATTGTCTGTGCATTTCGTTCTGGTTTGTTTCAGTATTTTCCCCAGAGGCTAGTATGTGCCTGTTATACCAAACCGTGACTGTTTCTGTGTGGGGGAAGGGCAGACGGCCTCAATAATGGGGCTGCAAAGTACTCGGGAACGCAAAGAGAGGGAGGCCAGCTAGGGCTGTCTGCAGCACCCCAGGTCCCAGGAACATGGCAGAGCCCTGCCCCCAAATGCTTACAGTCTAACCATCAGCTCCCATGGAATTCAGTGAGAGCTTTGGCTCTGACGGTGGATGCAGCTCAGAGGCTGTGGATACAATCCAGAAAGGTGCTAAGCCCCTACAGCCCCATGATAGGTGCTGGGAGATGCTGGTGCTCCTGGACTTGGCCATTTATTGGCTATGACACCAAAAAGGGTGACATCATACAAAGGGTGAAAGGAGGGGTCATGAGAGGACAAGGGTTGGTTGCTACGGCAGAAGATCGTGAGTCGAGATTGATGTTGTGGTCACTTCTCAATCGCTCCTCTGTGGGTGTGTGGGGACAATGTCCAGTATGGAGGCTGCCAGCCCAGGCCCTGACCCTGTGAAGGCAATGTCAAAGCTCTCATGCGCTTCAATGGGCCAGGATCAGGCCCCAGGACCAGCCTTTCCTTTCCCTTCCCCGACAGTTACAGACTCGAGGGAAGCTGTAGGCTGCCATGTGGGACTCCATGGGTATCCCTGCCACGGGCTGCTGATGGTGTCCGCAGTGGGGTGGAATCCAGGCCCTTGCGAAGTCCATGGGAATTGTGCCACTGAGGCCAGAGTTTCATCCAGGGGATTTAGTTGGGACTTACATTTGTGGGAATTTGGTGAAGTTACTGTGAATAAGCGACATCTCTGAAAAGGAGGATGGGGGTGTGGGTAAGGCTCTAGCATGGGACTTTGGAGTGCTGGGCTCTAGCACTGAGTGTGCTGGTCTCTCTCTGCCTCAATTTCCCATCCATGAAATGGGGATAATAGTCCTTCCTTTGCCTGTTTAATTGCAAGGTCTTTGGGGCAAGGTCTGTGTCTTATGACGTGTTGGTACAGTACAGCGGAGTCCCAATCTCCGCCTCCAGGCACTACCGCCTTGCAAATGGACTCTCATGCTTTTGTTCTATTGTTCTAAACATGCATCTCTTTCAGGTTGGACCACAATACACTGCATGACCGCCCGGTCTCGCACCCCGCCGACGCTCCTTGCAGTACTTGCCCCACCTGTGTATCTTTCAGGCACGCAAACATTCAGATCCTGAGCACCGCTTGCTTACGCATACTAGCTTGCTCCACTTGCCTCGGTGGTTGCTGGGAAGTGCGGTCAGGAATCTTAACACTGACAAGCTTCATAGTGTGGTCCTAGAGTGGACTTGTCATTGGCCAGTGGAACGGGGTTTTGTTGACAGTGGTTTGTAAAGATCATCCATCCCTCCTCTTTCAAAGGCCAAACATAATTAATTTCACACTCTTCCTGAGGACTGCAGATAAAGACGGCTGCCGCTTTCGAGCCCGTTCTTTTCTAACTGAGCTGCCCTGACAAGACTAGATCCAGCAGAACCCATTCAGCTGCTGAGCTGAGCATCTTGGGGGATCTGAGTGTCCTTCTAAGAAGCCCCCCATCTGAAATTTGAGCTCTGTACCTTTTAACTAGACAACCTGTTAGAGAAAAGGGCTAAAGAGACCGAAATTGAATTTGGATGTCCTAAGCACAGATCACGCGGCAGTTCACATGTTGTGGCGCTTGTCCAGCTGCCTCGAGTGGCTCGCGAGCGCGAGTCCCCGCCTCAGGGCAGACTGTGAAGAAGCAGGGCACAGACCCCAAGCTGGCTGTGAGTTCTATGTCCACATTTCACCAACCAAGTATCAAGTCTGAACTCCTCAAGGACTATGACAGCCTTAACATGGAGTCACAGACAGTCTTCTTGGGCACTCAGGTCTATCTTGCCACCCAGGCAAGCTTACCTTTGTGATAGATGGTCCCTTACACCAAAAATCACAACGATATTCAGATTACTCCCAGTCCAAAAGGACCAGTCACTTACCCCGGATCAACTGCACCTCAGGTCCTATGCCAAAGACAGTGCTTGTAGCCAATCCTATAACTAATTAAAGATTTATTAACTAAGAAAAAAGAAATGAGAGTTATTTACAAGGCTAAAGCAGATCAACATATACACACACAGACGTGTGACAATCTTAGATTCCAAAAGGTAATAGAAGCAGCTGTAATATTCAAGCTCCATGTGTCCTTTAGGGCTCTCCCAGGCCAAACAGTTGGGGATCCCTCGCTTATGCTTAGACATTTTCACCCCTCAGAGTTCAAGCAGCATAGAGCTACAGTTCCTTCTTGTCATTGATTTTTATTCCCTTCTCCCAGAGTTCAAAGTGATGGGACGAGGCCTTGTGCACATCTCTTCCTCATGGGTGTGGGGAGAGCAATCAACAAAGTCTTTTGTCTCCTGATGTTCCACAATGGCTTGTCTGGTGTCCATGGGCCTTCTTTTGTTGGGCAGGAGATGACGCCTCTTGTGGTAAACCAGTATTTCACCCTTTGATAATGCCTCTCTACTGAGTGGGCGGGGTGGGGGGGTAACAGTTTTAGAGCAAACGCATTTATAGTTACAGAGCAAACACATATAGATTGCCTTACAACACGGGGTACAGCTGTTATAAGTCAGATTAATACATGCAGCAGCCTACCAGCATTTCATAAAGTCTAAACAAATTTTTTTAATAAATCTAATACCTATTTTAACAATACCAACACATAGTGAGGCTTAGGGGCCTTGGCATGAGCTGGCGTCTGGTCTGCCAGCATCACCGAGGTCTCTTGTTATACCATGAATTAAAAGGTACATTGCGAGACATCCCTAAAGTTTCGGTGGTGGCGCCACTGTGTCCTAAACCATCATGGGCTGGAAGTCATCCCAGAGTCCTATTTCACCATGGTCACTTCAGCCCCCTTGCCTCTCATCTCACTTTCCTGCAGACAAGAAACCATCTCCCGCTGCTCTGCTCAAGTTAAGCTCTGCTCTGGGTCCCTTTCCTGGCTTCCCCATCAAGTTCACACCCTTCAGCCTCACACTCAGGAGTTGTCACGTGTCTGCTCCTGTCTTGGTTCTTGCTTCATGAGAAGCAAGAAACTTCTGAAATTTTTGGCTCTTGTCTTTTCCCCCTTTCCATGGTCCCTGTACCTCCCCTTCCCTCTCATCATTCAAACAAACCCATCACCCCAGCCCCTGAAAAAACACTTCTTCTGTGAGGGCTTTGAGCGTTAACACCCTCTAGTACAGCAAGCAGATGTATCCACCAGAAGGTCGGCTGAATCCGGTATGGGAGGATCTCATTTTGGGCCATGAAAGACCCCTTAGTGTGTTAAGGAATGACATAGCTTGATTCAGCTACCCAAGGACAGGCACTTGGCATACATTGACCTGAAGGAGCTTGTGAAAGCAAATGAACATCAAAACAATTAATGAGCGGGGTCACGTCAACACGGAAAAAATAACTAAGCCCCACAAATTGTGTAGGTCTTGGGAGCATTTCGGGCCCTGATTTTCCACCAGTGCACGCTGTGTTGAATCAATTCTTAGGGCTGCTTAGCCAGAGAACCTCACAACACATCTCAGTGGGAGGGTATTTAAATTTGAAACAAGTTAACATTGAAGCCTGGCAGCTCAGGAACCTTCACTATCACCTCTAACAAACCAACGTGGAGCGGATCCAACCGCTGTGGGAATGCCTCCTCCCGAGGGCTCCACTAGTGAAAGACTGAAGCCTTGTGCAGGCTTATGCTTCTTGTAGGGGTAGGGAGAGAATGGCTGATGTGCGCCTCTGGTAAGATCTGCCTGCTATGGGTATTTCAAGATGTTGGATGCTTGGCCTGCAAGATGCAAGGCTATTAAATTGTGTACAGCTCTCTCGTAACAGGTAGCGGGGTGTGTTGGGGTTAGACAGGGGAGGCAGGAAGGATTGGTAGTAGTGAGTGCTACGGAAGGGACCGGAAGGAAAGCTCAGAGGTTGTAGGCAACGTAGAAGTTGTGGCTTCTGAGTTGAATTTCTACAAGAAGAGGAGGCCCTGGGGAGGTGGATCCAGAGACTGGAGAGGAATAGTGGTGAGGAATAGGGAGAGGAGATCATGGAGGCAGAGTGGAAGGAGCGAGGGAGAACGGGGATCTCAAGGGGTTGCTCTGAATTCACAGCACTGTGAGAGAAGCAGCCGACCCATGGGAGCTGCAGACAGATAGGATGCACAGGGAGGGGCAGAGCAGGGGTAACCAAGGAGAGCTCTTGGTTTGTTTCCTGGATGTGGTGATGGTGCAATACTGATGTGGGATAATGTTTCTGGGCCTCACAGAAGTGGAGCGCCGGGAGGGATTCAAATGAAGACAGGATGTAGGCCTGGCACTGTGGGGTAGCAGGATTCCAATTCCATACCAGTTCTTATACGGGATGCTATAACAGGGTTGCTTGTGATAACAGAGACTCTATGGCCCAGGAGGTTCCCTAGGTATGCATGTCTGATGGCTGGGAAAGGAAAATGTGTTTTGTTGCAGTTGATGCTTCCACAGCCTGTTCTATGCATTGTTTAGAAACAGTACTGGTGAGTGGGAGGAAGGACATTAATATTTAAATGTTTACACCGGACACTGTGATGGGTCCCACCTTGAGGAGAAGGAGCAGACTGCACTTACTACTGGATTGGCAAGGGCAAGGAGGAGCTGAGCTAGTCAGGACTAGGGTTCCCCATATGGTCTGACATTGCCCGGAAGCTTGACTCACTCCCCAAGGGAGCCAATGATTGCCTTACTGTGCGCCACATAAACCGACCGATTTATGCTGCTCCGCGAAAACTCGTCCAGAGACAAGTACACCGCCATTATCAGCACCTATGCGCCAACAATGACTCATACAGCCGTGATCAAGAAGGCATTTAATAAAGATCTCAGCAGGCTCATCAGAGGGGTCCCGTACCAGGACAAACTCATTGTCCTTGAAGACTTTAATGCTGACACATGGAGCTGGGTGCGAGGCCATCACGGCATTGGAAGGTCAAACTCCAACAGCCAACTACTTCTGTCCAGTGTGCCCAGTTCAATCTTACTATTACCAACACAGTCTTCCAACAGGCCAACAAATATATAACAACAAGGATGCATCCTAGGTCAAAAGAATGGCATATGCTAGACTATGTATTTGTATGTTCTTTGATTTAGTTGGGGATTGGTCCTGCTTTGAGCAGAGGGTTGGACTAGATGACCTCCTGAGGTCCCTTCCAACCCTCATATTCTATGATTCTGTGACATTAAAGATGTGTATATCTCCCACTCTTTGAGAGGTGCGGAATGCTGGTCAGACCATCGGCTTGTGAGAAGTTTTGTGTCACTACACTTAGCAAAATACACCAGAAGACGCCTCAAACCTCTAGAGAAAATCAACGTGACTATCATGAAAGAGCCCGGTCCAGTTCTGGTGCCCACAATTCAAGAAGGATGCTGATAAATTGGAGAGGGTTCAGAGAAGGTCAGGCTTGACAAAGCCTTGGCTGGGATGATTTAGTTGAGGATTGTTCCTGCTTTGAGCAGGGGGTTGGACTAGATACCTCCTGAGGTCCCTTCCAACCCTGATATTCTATGATACCTATGAAGAGCCATGAGAATGATTAAAGGATTAGAAAACAAGCTTTATAGTGATAGAGTTGCCTGGTCTATTGATTATACTGATTGCTTAAGAATTCCTGGTTAACACTCTGAGGTTTGATAGGTTCTTGTCTTAAAATTAGGTGCAGTATTATTATAACCCCACTAGGCATGGTTGCAACACTCACATGTAGGAAATCACACTATATTTATAATAGTATGTATTAATACAGTTAGCAAGGTCACAAACACTCTAATCCAGCAAGGTAGACAGAGAGAATACAGAATGTAGATCTTTACCGTAACACAGAGACAGTTCGTGGGGAGGGGGTGACATGATTACAATCTATAAGTACCTGCAGAGGAAACAAATATTTAATACTCTTCAGTCAAGCAGAGACATTTATAGCACACTCCAATGGCTGGAAGTTGAAGCTAAACAAATTGAGACTGGAAATAAGGGGTAAATTTTTAAAGGTGAGAGTAATTAACCATTGCAATAATTTACCAGGGATTTTCCAACACTGACCATTTTAAAATCAAGATTGGATGTGAAAACTAAAACATCTACTCTAAGCATTAGTGTGGGGCAGGTCTCTGGCCAGTATTATACAGGAGGTCAGACTAGATGATCACAATGGTCCCTTCTGGCCTCGGCATCCACAAATGGGTCTGTGGGCCAGCGAAGGCTGATGGGTTGTGAAAGCAGATAAGAAAAATCTGACAGCCGAAGCTCTCCTTAGAGCAAGCAGGCAGCAGCAGGCAGAGATCAGTATCTGACTGCAAACAGCCTGGGGAATGCCTACCCTGCAGGGCCTCTGCTCTTCCAGACCTTAAACCAGACTGGCACACGGTAGCCTTCCCCTAAGCCAGTGGTACGTGTACGCCTGGGGGCAGGCAGAGCTCTTCTGGGGGGACATCAACTCATCTAGAGATTTGCCCAGCTTTACCACAGGCTCCATCAAAAGCACTAGTGAAGTCAGTACAAACGAAAATTTCATAGAGACAATGAGTTGTTTATACTGCTCTGTCTATGATACACTGACATGTAAGTACAAGATTTATATTCCAATGGATTTATTTTATAAGCAGGTGGCAAAAATGAGAAAGTCAGCAAGTTTTCAGTACTACTGGGCTGGGACACTTTGGTATTTTTATGTCTGATTTTGTGAGCAAGTCGTTTTTAAGTGAGGTTAAATTTGGGGGTGCCCAAGACTAATCAGACTCCTGAAAAGGGGCCCAGTGGTCTAGAAAGGTTGCGGACACTGCCCTAAACTGTGGAACATCCCAACCAAGAGCAATGACCCTGTCCCATGGGCTGCAGTTTCCTGCCTCTCTGCACTAGCAGTAGCGCAAGGACCCCAATGCGCTTAGACTTTACGGTCACAAGCCCAGTGAGGAGCATAGTCACCCACAGACCAGCCCCCCGCTTGGCAGAGGAGGGGGCCGGGGGAGTGTGGAGCCCCCCAGACTGGCCCCCC